CAAATTTAATTCAGTATAACAAGACCGCTGATGGAAAACGATTTATTTAAAATGGAGTCCGAAAAACGTTTGACTTCGTCAGGTACGTTCGTATTTTTATTTTTAATGCCTTGTATTGATGGCTGCTTGAACATGATTAGATGCTACAAGATAATTTGATTTATATAGAATGTATCGACAAACATGAGTTGTTTCACTTATGGAAAGCCAATGGAGCACCTAAAACTAAGTGTCTTTCTGTGGCTCAACATATTTTGAGCAAATTCGACATCGATGCCGACCTCATGCCAGAGGTTCATTCAAAGTATTTGAAATCGCAGAGAATCTGTGCAAATACTTTAAGAGGCTGTGGGATAAGCACAACCGAACCTTGAGCAATGTTTTCGAGCAGAACGTTGAATACTTTAAACAACCGTTTCGAATACTGGAAGCAATTATGAATGAACTTCCGTCTACATCTAACGGTGTTAAGCGTGGTCGAAAGCCGTTGTCATTTGATGACTGTACCGATAGCGTTAAAAGGCAAAAGACAGCTGACCTTCGCAAAAATTATGCAGCAAGTGAGCTATGCTACGCAGCTGAGATGAAATTACGATCGTGCAGGAGAAGTAACGAAGCTACTGTTGTCCGGAATGCCACGTGTACGATACCTACTCGGGCCAAACGGATGCTTTCAACTCTTCAAGGCTCATGCCAGCCCAAGATCATGCCGTACTCAAATAATGAGGCGTTGGCATTGATTTTGGATGCTAATTTGACAAAATCTCAATACCTTAAAATGAGACATGGCGCAAACACGAGAAATGCTAAGTTGTATTCGAACTACCACGAAATATTGTCTGCTAAAAAAGCTTGCTACCCAGATAGCGATGCCATCACCGTTACCGAAGACGTTGTCGAAGTGAAACTTCAAGAATTGTTGGACCATACTGCAGCAAGAATTATCGAAGCGAATACTTCAAAGCTTGATGAATTTTCAGAAAGTGAACTGCTTGACGTCGTGCTTACCGTTAAATGGGGGTTTGATGGCAGTTCCGGTCACGCCGAATATAAGCAACGATTTGACTGCGATGATGCAGCTAAATCGGATTCCAACATGCTCATTACATCTATTGTTCCCATTATTGCTCGAAGCGGCGAGAAGTGCCTTTTTCAGAACCCTCGACCGTCTTCAACACGCTACTGTCGTCCAGTTCATATTCAGTTCCTAACTGAAACAATCGAGGTATCGGTTAAAGAAAACGACTACATTGAACAACAGATCTCGGATTTGCAACCATTGAAGCTGACGATAAACGGGAAGAATATCGTTGTCAAATATGATATGCTCATGAAAATGGTAGACGGAAAAGTGTGCAACTCGGTAACGTCTACAAAATCTGCCCAAAGGTACTACATTTGTGGTGCCACGCCTATCTAAATGAACGATCTCTCCAAAATACATCAACGCCCAACAAACAAGGATAATTTTCGATTTGGTCTTTGCACATTACATGCATGGATACGTTTTTATGAATATTTCCTTCACATCTCGTATCGTTTGGATATCAAAAAATGGCAAGCCAGATGAGCTGATAATGAGACAATGCGACAAAGGAAGAAACAAATACAAGAACGGTTCCGCGTGGAAATAGGATTGATCGTCGACAAACCTCGATCAGGAGGATCTGCAACTTCGAATGACGGAAACAGTGCACGCCGCTTCTTCCAGAACTGGGAGAAGTCATCTGAGATCACCGGATTGAACCCTGCAATGCTATATAGATGCAAAATAATACTAGAAGTTCTGGCTTCGGGATTGGAAATTGACTCTCAAAAGTTTGAAGAGAATTAATCAAGAACTACCCCTGGTTTTATCTCCCGGTGACTGAACACAAAGTTCTTATGCATGGATCCCAGATCATAAGCCATTTTCTTGTGCCAATTTTGCAATTGTCGGAAGATGCCCAAGAATGTCGGAATAAGGACATTAAGCGATATCGATTGAACCACACACGAAAATTTTCACGGACACCAACAAACACAGACCTGTTAAATCGGCTCCTAGAATCGTCTGATCCCCTCATCTCCTCGTTAAGGGCACTTCCTGACAAAAAACAAATGCCACTGTCAGAAGATGCCAGATCTCTTCTTCTTGATTCAGCTTATTCCGATGCTGGTGACAGCGACGAGGACAGCATTGATACTGGAACCGATGATGAACGCTGCTAATTTTCAATGTATCTTTCATTTTAGTTCTTTTTTCTTAATTTATGATTTCAGGACTAATCGACACAACATACGTTAATCTATTCTGATGATAGATGGCATTTTTTCAAGTTCACTGATGCATTAAAAATATATTATCCATATAAAGAGACGCACAAACGTATTTTATTTGATGCTGAACGTTTTTAATTACAATGTATCACACATAGTCGATTTGATAAGCACATTGTTGTGTTGATGCGCCAGCTAAACGTTTTTATCATGGCTTGCTAGGATCATAATGTGAAGCCGAAAAAGCTATACAGTGTTGTTTGAATGAGAGATGACGTGTTGTAGAGGTTGGATGTTGTTGGTAGTATGGCAAATGTATTTCTAACATGCCAAGCGTAGAACCTATCAGAACCTAATGAAACCACTTGTATTTTGTAGTTCAAAGGCATACTTTTTGAATGAAGATGGTTTGGCTTGCCCGTATTTGCCCGTTCTCCAGATATTTTGCGTAGAAAATTGCCTATTTTTATGATAAATATTGAATAACTTTTGATAGGTTCATTATAAGCTCATCATACTTTGAGTATATGATATTTACATATTCAGCAAAGTTGCTAATATTTGCATTATCTACAACTTTGATCAAGATGCCAACCACTTTTGAGCATGTTTACAAAATTTGAATTTTCTACTGCCTAAGGCTGAAAGTCTCGTTAATAAAAAAAAAAATCTATTGCCCTTCTAGGTGGATAGATCCTAATTTTACTTACTTCAAAACAAAGCTTACAAAGTATCTAACAACTTCTCTGAAGACACTACCCTTCCAAAATGACGTTTCCATACCCAAAATAAAAAACGCACGTTTTCGGTAGGTTTGTCAGCTGACAGTGCGGCAAGCGGGGGATGCACGTATGCTGTGCGATGATTTAACGGTGTAGCGACGTAGCAGGGATGTAGCGTCGACGGTGGATACTCACGAAAACAACGGCCGAACTAAAGGTGCGGGGGAGGTTGTCGGTGGGTGTTGGTACTCTACCAGATCATCCGTTCGAGGTAGCCAACGTGCTCCTAGTACTCTGATTCCGTTACGCAACCACTATGGAACGGAATGGAACCACCCCGTCAGGAATCGCAAGGCAGGCCGACGGAAAAACCTTTCGCCCCGTTTGACTGCCAGAAACTGGCGGGCCACAGAGCAGTCGCACCGGAAATACACCAAGTGTACAGAAGCCAGGTAAATGGCCAAGGAATTGCCTACGGGTTTCTAGCCCGTCCTAAAAACGTCCGATGGACGCTCGCTGTCCAACGGGAATTTAGTTTTAGGAAAATATAATAAAATGAAATTCAATAAATTACTACCTTTTGAAATAAACGTATAATGCACAAGGGCAGAGTATTCGCCGTTGTGATTTTAACACGCCAAAAAACTATTGTTATAAAACAAGTTAAAAGGAACAAAAGAAAACAATTAAATTTAGTTCACTTCACCACTTTTTAGTTAATTAAATCACTATATAATTTAGAACAAATTAATTTATACCTCCGTCTAATTAAGAACATACCTTTAATTAGAATAAAACCGAAGAGAAATAGCACTAAGCTGACTTCTGCTCTCTAGCCGACAATTAATTTTAAAGAGCTCTCGACCCCTCAAATTCTTCGAATCATCATGTTTGACACATACCACGATTCATTGAATTATGTTGGACAAGTTAACTTATTGGCCATCTATTGATTCCCCTAATAAAAAATTACCATAAACGAACGATAACCCAAATGTGTGAACTATTCCACAAATGGTTTGGATGATACCCAGAACACGTCGTTAAGCAAATTAACCATAACATTTTTATTAGGGTCAACCATGAGCTGAAAAAGGCCTATTGCATTGGAAACTGTAATTATATTCAAATTTTAAAACAGCTATAACATATAATATGATATAACATAGTATGCGATGGATTGGATTTTTAGAATCGAAAAGGGATGTTGAATTGGAAAAAGTGCTAAACAAAAGAGATGTTAGAAATAATAGAAAAATATAATACAAACTAACGGAGAACGTTACAACATTCATCGAGCATTATCAAAGTAACCCCAAATCAAAATACTGAAGTTCGGTCACAAAACGAAAAAAAATAGTTCAAATGCTTTAATTTCCGTTAAACATATTACTAGCTAATTAACTCTTGGATCCCCAGTACTTGTTTTAAAAATATAAAATTGTAAAACATTGATTGCTGTAAAAAATATTTAGAATATGTATATTTAAAAAAAAAACTATCAATGTTAGCAAGTCGCAAAAAGTTCCATTCGAAAAAACTCACTCGATCGAACCAGGAATCAAACCCACCATTTCTAGCACACCTATCGGTCTCTTGTTGTGACAAAACTATCTGCCATCCTGACATTTACTTCCATCCGTCCTAGTTTTCCCCCTTTCGCATTTCACCGCAAAATCACCGAAGCTGATGTGAAAGTGAAAAACCAGCAAACCCACGGCGAAAAGATAAATGTAGGAGGGTGATTCGACCGGATTATTGTGTTTGCTGCTTCCCGAGGGATCGATTGGAATTATGTTGAGGATACACTTGGCCAAATGGTGTCCGGCACGGATTCATTTATGCGAATATTGAAAGAGAGGTTATCCTCTGCTATCCCTCCAGTTGAATGAATGATGAGAGGGTCGCTTTTGTGTGCTTGTAAATTAAATATAACTTATGATAATAAAACATAAATATGTAAACAACCGCACTGAGCTAGGGGGAAAATCAGGAGATCGTAATTTTTCAAACAATTACCTGTAGATCAGTTTTCTGCGAACGCTTCGTTTGAAGAATCCAGAACACCCATTGCAGGCTAGAATTCCGTAGTGTTTGCCGGAGCTGGTATCACCACAAACGACACAAATCAGGCCTAGGTTTTGGGCTTTGCGAGCACTGGCACTGCCACTCTCGCTGACCGGTGTTAGATGTTGGGAAGGCCACTGGAGCAGTCGGTTTTGTGGCGAGTAGCACGATATTGGTGAACTGCGGTGATCTAGGAAAATGAAAAACATGAATATTGAATACAAAACATAGATTTTTTCAGCTACCTGTCTTTCCCGTGAGTCCATTTTCTGCCCTGGCTAATGCCGAATGGTTTGCGTCGTCTGGAATGCCGAAGCCTCGCCCACTCTGAAGGCCATTTTCGTCTTTTTCCAATTTGTCGTAGAAATCGGCTATCGATGTCTTGTTGAAACCTTCGATTGGGAACGAAACGTGAAATATTCATTAATATCCATGCAACAGCAGTAATTATGAGATGACTTAATAGCAACACATCTCTAGTTACTCAGTTGAGTTAATGCCGTCGAGTGCAAATATCACGTGCCTCATATTTTTCCATTAGACTGGATGCCGCCCTACAATCGTTTAATCAAAGCAACTGCAAATGTGCTAAGCAAATTGTCCCTTCTGTCCCTCCCGTGGAATAAAGCAACAGCAGCACCTTTTAATGGGATTGCGAAAAGCCAAATTTGCATAAATCTTCGTTCGATATTTACATCACGTCACCGGGTCCCCCCTCGCTCGGAAGTCGCCGTACTCGGCCCGTGTATTGAATATTACGGACTTCCTCTTGCCATCAGCATCAGGTTTATGAAGCCAGAGTCTGGTGGAAAGGAAACTGCCGTCCATGTCAAAGCGTTACTTTGCATCATTACAGTGTTTGATGTGAATTTAATCAACTATAAGGCCAGCTGGAATTTACACATAAGCACGTTATAAAAAACGAAAAGATTTGCATAATGGGAACGTGTAACATTCATCACAAACATTTCAATATTTGAGTTCGGAACCTTTAAGTCGATCTCTGTTTTACTCAAAAACAGAGCACTTTCGATTTCATGCCTGTCCCACTAAAGTCCGACGAGAAAAGCGTTCATTGTTTCGGTAATTTTCCACCAACTGTTACAAAGTATGACAAACTGTTTACCAGCAAATATGACTAGCACACCGTCTGCAAACAGTATTTAATTTCTTATGCCTAACAAAAGACGTTTCGATCATTTTTTACCCACAAGTCGCTTGCTTCTGTCTCGCTCCCGCACACAGCCTGTTTTTAAATAATGCAGATAATTCTTGAAACTGTTTACCAGACAAATAGCTGCAACCACCAACAGAAGAGAAATATGTCTCTTTTAGATCTAGACATGCCATCGATCGATTTCCTCCCTGTTAGCGAATGGGACGGAATATCATTTCTCGCGCCATTTACTGCTGGTTGTTACTGGGTTCCTTTTGAGGCACTTCAGTGTTCGTTTCCTTTGATCTAGAGCTTGGCCTGCGCAATTGCTTGCTTGGTCCCTTCGCCATTTGCCGCTATGAGTGGGGGGTGGGTGACAATAAAGATGTGCCGACCAAGGTTGATGCTGTAAAGTGCCGCCATTATGGAAATACTACGGTGAGGCTACGACATTGTAGTGATCCAACGATTCATTTCAACGCATTGGGACCTAAGAAGCACTTGAACAGTGTTATGATAAAGAAGGAATACTAAACTCTTTACAGTTTATGGAGGATATTTTTTATAAAGACAGAAATAAGCTTCCCAAGCAACAATCAAGTCCTACAACAGTTTATTGAACCGTTGTATGACTGCTTTTGGTTGTAATGAAGTTTACTCAGGTTACAAATTATAAAAATTGGTTCCATAGCTCTCACGAGAGTAAGAAATCTGTTAAAATTTAAGTCTGCTGACGATTTGCGAAAGCTGTACATAAATCTCTTCGTTTATTCGATAAAAAAAAATTAAAAGCATAATAAAAAAACCCAAAACATGACTCATTTGCTGATTGCAAACATCACTTTAGAGTAATTTCGCACCAAATGACGAATCGATAAGATTTTACTCTTTCCGATGTCCATGAAACTTTGCAGAATTGGAGCATTCATTTAAATTTGTGCTGAAATTTGGTCATGTTGATTCGAGCCTTGTTTATCAAAATGGCAAATTTGATATTTTTCAATAAATCATAGTACAAAAAAGTATCGTCTAATCAAAATGATATATAATACAAAGTTTTTGGAAAATAGACATTTGGCATTTTCAGTAAAAAAAATAGGTCACAATGTGAAAACAAACCAAATTTTAATAAAAAAAAAATCAATACAGGAACTACTGTCAAATAGCAAAAAAAAATGTTTTGACTCAACCTTTTCCGATTTGCTTGAAACTTTGCATAATTGATTGTTATTCACATTTTTGTTAAACTTCGGTCATTTCGGATCAAGTGATTTTTTCCAAATCAAGCTGAAAATTGCATTTGGTCCTAAGTAACATTGACATATTCTCTTCGTTGACTTTTTCTTTGTATTTTCACGGCCATGTTCCCAGCACACAGATCGATAACAGAAGCTTTGATACACCATCTAATACGACAAACACAACAAGAAACAGATATGTGCTCAAGTTATCGAGAATCGAGAATCGATCAATGTTACTTAGCTGTTCAGCTTGAAATTTCGTCTTGTCGTCTCAATCAATGTTAACAACAAAACGTCACTTCTGATCTATATGACGTATGAGACTAAATTGAAGAGAACAATAAAGTGTTTCTAGGAATGTTTAATACTCAAATTTTTATAGTTTTTATTTTTTATGAAAACGCACATGAAAAATGCTACTTTTATAGAACATTGAAAAGTTAGGAAATTTGAAAATAGACAAAAATCGAAGAACAAGAACTTTTGGACAAATTTTTGAACCTCATGTTAGAGCGCTGTTTTAAGTATTTTTTGTAAAGAAATCTATTTAATGGAGACATTTTGTTTACTGTTTATAAATTATATAAACTAGGAATTTACAAAAGATATTGCATACAAATATTGAAGATTTCATGCGTCATAACTATGCATGTCAGCTTGTAAGATTTATAACGCTCCATTGTGCACAACATTTACATTGGCGTTAGAGATCGGCGATCCGCTCCCGAGCTGTTCTAAAGAGCCGATTCACTAAAGTGAGCTGATGATCCGCGGTTCATTTTTTTAGGAACCGCAGCTCATCAGCACATTGTTATCACAAATCTAAACCATTCAATCCGTGACTTATAGCGGATTTTTTTTTTAAAAGCACACATTGTTCCTTTACGCATTGAACAGTCACTGCGTAAACCAAGATGCGCAACAAGTGCATACTGATCGATATCATCAACCGTAAAAGCAAACTTCAAAGCGGCTGTATGGGAGAGAGAGAAATATGTACATGTGTTACACGATGTTAAATTTCTACTGGATTTATCCCATGTATTTACGTACCCAGCTCTTATTGCTGATGTTATTCCTCCAGCATATGTGCTCTCACCTCTCCTCCCATCATTCTCTGGGGGAGCGGAAGATTCGCAAAAAAGCAAATAACCGAAAAGCTAAGTGCAGCTCTCCAGCTTAGCAGCTCATCTCCGGATCCGAATCATCGGCTCGAATGATTCAGTGAGATGACATCTGTCGGACCCGTCCAGCTCTTCGGATCTTTTTCTCTCTCGATTCAGCTCTGGATCCGGATCTGAGCTGATGATCTAGAGCTGAAGCCGAGAATAGAGAGAGAGCTCCGCTTCGCTAATGCACGCTCTGATCTGAATACACCATTAGACTTATGATATCAGTGAGCTGATGAGCTGCGGTTCCTAAAAATGAACCGTGGATCATCAGCTGACTTTAGTATGTTGGGCCTATAGAACACCTCGGGAGTCCATCTCTAGATCTGAGCTGAAGCCGAAAATAGTGGGAGCAATTGTGCTGGATAATCAAGGTGGATTCCGTCCTGAGCGATATTTCACGCGCGGGGCGAGATTTTGCCAATGTACGAGAGGGAGAGAAGTACTAGTTGTCTCTCTCATTCCAACACAAATTCTGCTCCGCTCTGCTAATGCACGCTCAGATCTGAATACACTATTAGACTTATGATATCAGTGAGCTGATGAGCTGCGGTTCCAAAAAACGAACCACGGGTCATAGGTTGACTAGAATGAATCGGGTCTAAAGAACAGCTTGGGAGCCCATCTCCAGATCTGAGCTGATGATCTGGACCTGAAGCCGAAAATAATGAGAGCAAATCTGTAGAATTAACATCAGAAATAAAATCTGCATGTAGACTGCATTACATAGCTAGAGAAAAGACGTAACATCGTGTAACTCGATGTCGATCATATCATCGCGTTTGAAATGTGTGTAACAATTTCTATAATTCAAAGGTGAGCTGAAGAGCTGTTCAAAAGAATCGACTCCCTTTAATCAGCTGGACGGGTCTAATCCGCACAGCCAGATGAGCTATTTTGCCCACCTCTAATTGGCGTAGCTAGAAAAAATTAATTATAAGCATTCTGGTTTTGAACAAGCATTGATCATTTGTTTAAGCCTTTTTGTTAAGAATTTACATATTGTCTGAATGTCATAAGGATTTTAAGGATCTCAAACTTAAGAAGATTATCATGTTAGATAATTCTCAGGGTTCGATAATTCCATGAAATTTGAAAATAGATTTTGACATAGGACTTCGTATTCAGGAATGGTGCCAATCCAGGGAAATGCAACCAAAATTGGTCAGACTTTAAATGCTTATAACTTGGTCAATAATCAATGGATTTTGATGATATGTATGTCGATCGATTCGGCAATTTAATAAAAAAAATTGTAGTATGCCACACGTAATAAATGTTGAATATTTAAATAGTTAAAAATTAAAAAATATGGAAATTTTTAAATTTCTCTCACATTTTCTTCGACCACAAGGTGCTCACCCCTAACACAGCCATCAGAAAGTTGGTTCCTAAAAAGCCGAAGCCGCATAACTATTCAGCGTTGAACTTCTTCGCTACAGCGTGGACATCGTAGCATTTTTTTTTCTATTCATTCACCTACATCAGCTAAATACAGAATAAAGGAGGGGCATAGAAGGGGCCTCCCTTAGCTCAGTCGGTAAAGGCGCAGCTACAAAGCAAGACCATGCTGGAGGTGGCTGGGTTCGATTCCCGGTTCGGTCTAGGAATTTTTCGGGTTGGAAAATTTCTCGACTTCCCTGGGCATAGGAGTATGATTGGACTTGCCACACAATTATACCAATGCAAAAATGGTACAGGCATCGAAAGCTCTCAATTAATAACTGTGGAAGTGCATCTAGAACACTAAGTTGAGAGCACGCAATAAGCTAATATGCGATATGCAATAAGCTTGAAATGCGAAGAAGAAGAAGAATAGAAGGATA